CCTGGCATCTGAGGCCCCGGCCAGCAGCCCTGCTGCTCTCTCTGCAAGATCCCTCAGGCACTCGGCCTGCTCTCTGCTCCCCCGACACGATCATCCTATGAGGTCTCAGCCTGTTGGAGAGTGGTCAGGGCCACTGAGGGTTCCAATTTTCCCAAGAGGACATGCTGACACATACTGGGACTCATGTAAACACCCACAGGGCACCCCTCTCCTCCCACACTGCCCCCCCTCCCTTCCTCCACACACACAGGCTGGCACACCTACACAGCCTCTCCTCGGGCACGTAAGCAGGCCTGGGCTTGAGGGGCCCACTGAGGCCCAGGACAGCCGGCCAAGGGGGCCTGCCTTTGGTCTCACCGACAGGGCAGTCCCCGGCCTGCAGGGACTCCCTGCACCGCTTCAGCCTCCTGCTGGCCTGGGCATCCACAGCCTAAATGACGCTCTCCTGCTCCTGGTCCCCTCCCCCACACACATACAGACCTGGCTCTGCCCTCGGGGTCTCAGCCACATCTGTTTCTCCAGCGAGGATGGCTCAGGAAATACAGTCTGGGTCCCGGCTCACCCTCCAGGGCAGCTGCCAGTCCCCACGCAGGTTGGACTGACCCATTTGTCATTAGCCCGTCTGGCTTTGCAGTCCCTCTCCCTGCCTTCCCCGCTGCCCAGGCCCCCACTCTCTCCAACTCACCTCCTCCAGGTCGTCTTCCCTGGCCCACAGCCCCAGAGGCACCCTGGGCATGTGGTCCGGAGTCTGGCCCACCTCCTCCAAGGCTGTTATCAGGGACCGGGAACTAGAACTTGCACAACTTCCATCTGCCCGCTCAAGGCTCCGTCGCAGTGGAGGCCATCTGAAGAGACTCGGCGGGATCACAGGAATGGCGCCTTCCCTCTGGGAACCCCATTCTCTCCAACGGATCCCTGTGAGCTCCTTCTCGGGCCTGCATATCTCTGGCCTTTTCCGGTCCTCTGTTCCTGCTCCTCCGCCTATAACCTAGCTCAGGCCCAGATTTCCACCACCACCGCTTTCCAACGACCCCTGTCCCACTCTCCTGGCATGCAGGAGGCAGCCCCCCTGCCTTCGCTCTCGGATGCTCTCGGCACTGGCTCTGTGCCATCTCCAGCAGGACTGGTCACTGTCTGTGCTAGCCGCAGCTCACTGCGTGCCCTTTGACCCCCGCCGTCCTTTGGTCTCCCCACGACCTTCTCCTCATGAGCTAGGCGCAGGTCTATGCTGAAGAATGAACCAGAACAATGCAGGACCGAAACACAGGCAGGGGCTGGTTACACTCCAGGCGTGGCCTCCCCGAGTCCGCGCACCAGCCTCAAGGTGCGGGAGCTTTCCCGGGAGGGACCCCTGGCCCTCAGGAGCGCCCCTCTCTTGCTTTCAGGCAATCTGTGCCGACTTCCACCCATCCCAAAGCTGAGAGGGCTCCCGGCTGTGGTCTGCCCCTCCTAATTCAGTCTCAACAGTAGTTGTCAACCTGGCTGTCTGCTAGCATCGCCTAGGCCAGGTGTCGGCAACCTGCGGCTCCAGAGCCGCATGCGGCTCTTTTGAAGCTTCACCGCGGCTCCGACAACGTGCAAGCCCGTGTGAAAATGAAGGTAACGTCTTACAGCCCTGATGTGCTGACACTGTGCACTGAGGTTCAGGAGCAACAATCCCATTAACCGGGTAAATTAAATATTTTAATTAGCTATTAATTTGCAAACATATATTTTACATTGTTAAGTGAAAAAGTCCTTTTTTTCCTTCAGATTGACAGCTAACTGCACGATCCGGTATACAGCATTAAGGTAAGAAACAATATATGCAGTGTTATATTTGTTTTAAATGTCGCAATGGTTTTGCGGCTCCCAGGTCTTTTTTTTTTTCCCTTCGGAAATGGGTCCAAGTGGCTCTTTATGTCTTAAAGGTTGTAGACCCCTGGCCTAGGCCCTAGGGCGCTTTTAAAAAATCCTGATTCTGGAACCGATATGGGCAACACTACAGGAAAGGCCGGTGGTGGCGGCTCTCTGAGAGTAGTTAGGGGGCTTTCCAGCCAAAGGGAAGAACTCTCTAGGCCAAGGAGGAGGAGAGAAAACTCCAAGTGGAGAGACCAGCTTGTGCAAAGGCCCTGTGGTTAGCAGGGACAGAGCTTTCCAAGAAGGGAAGTGGTGGTGCTGAGAGTGAGCAGGAGAGGAGCGCAAAGTGAAGCTGGCGCGGGTGGCAGGGCTGCACAATGTGCTGAAGAGGTCACTCTGGCTGCAGTGCGTAGAGGAGGGATGGGGGCGGAGGACGGGGGAAGCAGAGAAACCAGCGAGGAGGCCACTCCAGTGTCCAGACCAGAGGTGACATGATGGCGGACGGGACGGAAAAAAGCTGAGGGGTGGCAGCTGAGAGGATGGGAAGGAACAGGTGGACACAAGAGAGATGTGGGAGGCCAGACAAGAATTCTGAGTGGCCTGGCCTTGGGGGCGGGGGAAGAAGGGGTCCGGGGTGGCTCCTCGCTTTCCAGGCTTGCACACCTGGATTGACTCTGGTGCTAATCAGGGAAGCTGGGAACATACTAGGAAAGGACTTGGCTTGGAAGGGGGAGTCTGAGTCTCAGGTGAGGTGCGTCTGAGGTGCCTTGAGGAGTTCCAAGGAAGAAGTGAGGGAGGCATTTAGACAGACGGGCTGGAGCTCAGAGGAGAGGGGAGAACTGGCCACAGAGAGCGGGAGGTCCGCAGGGGAGGGATGGCAGTGGACCTGGAAGCCATGGGTGTGATGATGGCCTCGGGGGTGTGTCTGGGGTGAGAAGAAAGAGGACCCAGGAGTGAGTCCTGGGGGACTGTGAATGCTGGGGGAAGAGGAAGAACTGAAGATGCACCGGAGCAGGGGCCGCTGGGAGGTGAGAGGGAAGCCCAGGGTGACCATATAAGGAGTGTGTGTGGTTTCGGAACTGGGGAGTGGCCTTCCGTGTCAATGATGCCGAGTGGTCAGGTCACACGCAGAAAGCGAGGGAGGACAGTCCTCTCAATAATTTACTGCGTGGGGTTGTGCAGAGCACAGATACCCTCCTGAGGCAGGGTCAGCGGCCTTCTCTTTAGCTGGAGACGTGTTTCCTTAACCATCGACCTGCGAATAGGCCAAGGACATGAACGGGGGGCGTGGGTTTGTGGGTGTCCGATTTAAAATCGCATCGAAGAGCACTCCTGCGTGAGTCAGCAGGACACCGCCTCGGGCCAGTGGACCGTGTTACCAGTCCTCCGCCAGCATCTGATTTCACCACGGGAGCTTATATTACCGTTTAGCGACTTTTCCCTGTGTTATCCCAGGAGAGGTAGGATTCCATTATGTATTCCCCTCCTCCCTGCGAGGGAAAGGGTGAGAGAAAGGAGAGGGACTGGTCAATTTCAGCCAAACATTTAGAAGACCCTCAATGCCCTCCTTGGCCCCTAGCCCCCATCTTCACAAATTTCTAAGAGAGTTGTCCACACTTTCCTCCAATTCCATCTCTAAGCTACCTCCCCCTTCGTGCACATTGGTCTCGTCCCCGAGGGTTAACCAACTTATAGACCTCAGTCAAGTCCCACTGTGAACTGGTGGCTACACTTACCTCATTTCACCTCCACGGCCTCCTTTGGGGTGCGTGACATTGTCCCGTACGGCTGCTGAGGGCACTGAGGTGCTGATGGGTAAGGGGCAGTGTAAGGGGCAGGCTCTGCCCCCTTGAAACCCAGGTGTGTCTGATGCTGGTCATGTTCTCGCTTGGTTTATAATTGCGCCAAAACGGGTTTCGCTCAGTGGATAGAGCGTCAGCCTGTGGACTGAAAGGTCCCGGGTTCGATTCCAGTCAAGGGCATGTACCTTGGTTGTGGGCACAACCCCAGTAGGGGGTGTGCAAGAGGCAGCTGATCGATGATTCTCTCTCATCGATGTTTCTAACTCTTTATCTCTCTCTCTTCCTCTCTGTAAAAAAATCAATAAAATATATTTTAAAAATATATAATCGACTGTTTCTCCATGGTCAGAGCTCATAGGGCTTCTGAGACCCTATGACCCCATCTACACCCTCCTGAGGTGGGAAGACAGGCCCAGAAAGGGGCCAGACTAGCCCAAGGTAACATAGGGTGCAAAGTCAGGGCTCAAAGGAAAAACTGACCAGTGGAGCCCTCTGGGAGCCTACAGACACCCCCTTGCTCCCCACCAGGCTCTTGTTAGAACATGCCAGAAACCATGTTCAGAACTTCACAGACAGTGGTTCTTGGCCCTCAAGAGTCAGGAAGGTTCTGGCCTTTGGGCAGCTCACTACGCTCTTGGAGCCTCCATTTCTGTGTATGTAAAATGGGTCCATTATTGGGAGACTTGAAAGAGACATAGGTTGGCAAGGCAAGTACACTGCTGAACCTACAGACTGCTCAGACGTCATAGACCAAAGCTCATTCTGGTCTCTGGAGCCTCATTGCCTAGGCTGAGATTCAGGTTTGATCCCTTATATTAGAGGCCTGGTGCACAAATTCATGCACAGGCGGGGTCCAGCAGGCCTGCCCTGATGGGGAATGATGATGGGGAGAGCCCTGCCCCCTGGTCTCCCAGTGGAGGGGACAATTTGCATATTACCCTTTTATTATATTGGATAGCCTGTCATCTTGGGTAAATTTGTGTGCCTCAGTTTCTTTCCATGTGAAATGGGATTAACAGTACCTACTTAATAGGGCTGTTGTAGGAGTGAAGGGTTTGGAATAGTCACTGGCACATAATGACCACAGTAAAACTAGCTTTCATTACAGGTTTAAAGCGTTTTCTAAATCCAGACTACCCGATTTTTTCCATGCCCCGCCCCTCTAACAGGCCCCTCCCTCGTCCCCATTCGGTCCAGCCTCCTCCTTCCCAGGTCCTACTGCAGACCGCCGGGTTCCTCCCGACACAAGGGGGCGCGGCGCTGCAGCGGAGTGGGGGGAAGGGAGGGGGCCTTCTAGCGAAGCGGGCGACGCTCTAGGCAGCGGAGGCGGCTGCTCGGTGGCAGTAGCGACGGCGCTCTAGCCTTCGAGTGTGCGGGGCGGGCTCTCAGTGGTGCGGCCGGCGGGCGGGAGGCGATGGCGGCCGTCCGGGGCCTGCGAGTGTCGGTGAAGGCTGAGGCCTCGGCGGGGCTGGCCTTGGGGCTCCCGTCGCCTGAGGCGGAGTCCGGTTTGGAGCGTGGCGAGCCGGAGCCCATGGAGGTGGAGGAGGGCGAGCTGGAGATGGTGCCGGTGCGGCGCTCGCTGAAAGAACTGATCCCGGTACGGGAGGCGAGGGGGGAGGTCGCCGGGCGAGCGATCGTCCCGCGCCTGGACGGGCCGGAAGGGGAGGCGGCCGGCTGCCCGGCCGGGGGAAAGTCGGGGGAAGGAGAGAGGGGAGCGAGCGCCCGGGGGGCGGGGACGCCTGGCTGGGGAGACCCGGAGCGAGAGGAAGGACGCGGGGCGCCCGGAAATGGGTGCTGAGGGGCTGCGAGGGGTGGGAGCGCTGGAGGGTGGTGAGGGACGTTCCCTTCCCGCCCCCCTGAGCCAGCCTGTGCCCGGGGATGAGCGCGGAGGGGCCGGGCTGTCTGGGCGGGAACCGAACCCCGAGCGGCCCGGACCGCGGGGCACCGTCAGCGGCCGGCACCCCGGGCTCCTGGCGGTCCCGCTGCGGGCGGCTGGTGTCTGGTAGACGGAGCGCTCCGGGTTTCTCCCGGGTCGGCTGGGCTTGACAGCGATGGGAGCTCCGTGTTGCCGGGGTGGCCTGAGGGTCATCTTGCCCCCGGGCAGCCCCCCCCGGCTCTGGAGCCCCTACACGCCGGCCCCGACACCTGACCTTTCCTGGAACCAAAACATCCGCCAATGCGCAGTGGATCTCGGTCCGCCTTTTATCACCTGCGGGGGATGGTGCGCGGCGTTGTTGTTGTTGTTGTTTTAAATATATTTTATTGATTTTTTTTTTTTCAGAGAGAAAGAGAGAGGGATAGAGAGTTAGAAACATCGATGAGAGAGAAGCATCAACCAGCTGCCTCTTGCACACACCCCCACTGGGGATGTGCCTGCAACCAAGGTACATGCCCTTGACCGAAATCGAACCTGGGACCCTTCAGTCTGCAGGCCGAGGCTCTATCCACTGAGCCAAACCGGTTTTGGCGGTGCGCGGCGTTTTGCTTGTGTTTCCGGGGTACTTTGCCCGCTTCTTGGGGCCAGTCTCAGGCCTGCATGGCCCTTCTCAGGCCTTTCATGGCTCACCTGACACGAAGGAACGACTTTTTTTTTTCTTCTTTTTTTTTTTTTAATCAAGTCAGCAAGCCTTGGTGTTAAACTGAAATTATGGGGAAAGGTGAAAGTGGATCACTGATGCCTTTTGGTAACAATAATTAACAGTGTCATTTTTACCATTTACTACATGATGCCATTTCAATATCACCGCAGCTGTGAAGTATGTGTGTCCTCCCTGTGTTCATTCAGTCGGACACCCATGGCCTCCCCTACTGTGTGCCAGGCACAGTCCTAGGCACTTGATCAAGATTAAACGCCCTCCCGAAGTTTATGTTCCAGTTGGGGAGCACAAGTAAACAAGTAATTTTGGACAGTGGTGGATGCTGTGACAAAAATAAAGCATGCGAATGGCATAGAGAGTGCAGAGGGCAGGGAGGGTGTGCAGGGCGGGAAGCTGCATGGGATAGGATGGTCCGGGAAGTCCTCTGAGATGGTGATATTTAAGGCAAACCCTCAGTGACTCGAAGGACCCAGCCATGTGCAGATTTGGAAGAAAGTGTCTCCAGTAGGGGCCACAGTAAGCAGAAGGCTCTGAGACAGGCACAAGATTGTCTTGTTGGGGGAACAGATATGAGAGCAGTGAGAGGTCGGGAAGGTGGGCAGGTACCATGGAGGACACCTAGGCCCAGAGCGGCCAAAGGAACTGTGAAGTGTCATGTCGTCTGTGAACATCAGAGCTGCCTTCTCAGTCCCGGGTTTCCCCGATCCCACCCTCTTTTCATGGCCCTGTGCTGTGTTTTCCGAAGGTCTGGGCCAGTCTGGATTGTCTGCATTTTGATGAAGACTTGTGCTTCATCTACCTCGTGGCCTGGCATGATGAATAGGGCCCGGCCGGGTTGGGGAGAGAGGTGACTGCGCCTCATCTTGGATGCTTTTCACAAAAGCTTGTAGATTTCCACTTACATGACACCTTCAGTGGATGGCATTGTTTAAGGTTTGGACAGGCTCTAAGCTAGAAGTGACTTCTCCTTAGCGTGGTGATTGCTACGACAGTCCCTGCGATGGGTTTCCTCGGGGGAAGGGGGGGGTGTGTGTGTGGAGGATTGCTCGAGAGAAGGACTATCCCAAAGGCATCAGCTGTTTTTATCATGAATTTTTCTTCGTCACTTGCTGTCAGCATTTCTTACTCTTCCCCCTCGTGTTAGGACACAAGCAGAAGATATGAAAACAAGGCTGGCAGTTTCATCACCGGGATTGATGTCACCTCCAAGGTAAGGCGGACCGTGATTTACTCCTTTTGACAAGCGGCTGAACCTGGTTCCTAGGATTGGCGGAACTGCAATTATTCTGTCCCACCTGTTTTCTTTAGTTGGTGGATTAAAATGTATTTAACTTAAATTTTATGTTACACAATGATGCTTTTGTGCATTCTGGAAACATCCAGGCAGTATTTGTGTATTCTCGTGTTCACGATAAGATAAAATCACTATACCTGTGCTTAATCATATCCAAGAAAAAGTTCTGCACTGCAAATGCTTTTTTATGCTGTATACATTCTTTAAAAGTGATATAAACTATTTTTTACTTTAACTGAAACATGAAAAGTGCCTGGCACACAGTAGGCTTTTAGGAAATGTCTTTTGTGGCTCACTGGCCGCAGGCTTAGGAAAATAGGGTCTCCCGCCCTGGCTGATGTGGCTCAGTTGGTTGGAGCGTCATCCTGTGCAACAAGGTCGCAGCTTCAGCTCCCGGTCAGGGCACATCCTTAGGTTGTGGGGTTTGATCCCTGATTGGGGTGCGTGCAGGAGGCAGCCAATTGATGTATTTCTCTCACATCGAAGTTACTTTTTCTCTTTCTTCCTTCCTAAAAAAACAAAAACAAAAAACAACACACAACCTTTCTCCCCTCCCCCCCTGGAAAAATAGGATTTCCTTACTCTGTGGCTATCTAAACTTTGAAGACCAAGTCAGCTGAATTATTCTCAGTATCTGGGAATATTATCTTTTATCTAGTGATTACTGTTACTAGATTACCAACTTCACTGTAATTCCTCACAGAGCTAAACCTATTATTTTCCTTATTATAAATAGTGCATATTATTGCTTATGTTGGTGATATCCAGTTTAGACATTCTTTCTGCTTTAACGTGTGCAATTGAGTTTGGAATAGAATCTTGAATTCTGAATAGTAGCACTATGTTGCTATATTGGATGTGTAAAATAAAAAATAAAAATGTCATGCTTACATTTTTATATCTTATTTGGGACTCAATCTGGCGTAGATGGCTTAAAGGCCAAAAGAAAGAAATGATCTTTTAGACAAACAGGAAAATTAAGTGAAGATGTTTTCTTACTGTAATTGAACCAGAAGTAGACTGCACTGTTCTTAATCCAACACAGTTTGCCATTATATAAACAAATATAATGGGGGAAAGAGTGGTAGTCCCAGAATTGGTACTTAAACTGTTACTAAAGAAAGGTAGATTAGCTCTTTGCACTGGGAAGATTTGAGGGAAGAAAATTAGCATAACTGTTGGGAAATAACAGAAGTGTTGCTGCTTTACCAGTCCCCACAAGCATTCTGTGTAGTCAGACCTTCAATTAGCGTGCAAAGTCAATGTGTAATTAGCGAGGGCTCCCAAGAGCCGTCAGAAACCCACGGATCTGGATTTATTTTAGGTCTTGGGGAGAAAAAAACTTACGAAGCTGATTATTTTGTTTTTCAATGAAGCATCAATGCTTGTCACTTAATTTGAAAACTGGCAATTGCATGGATACAAGCCTGGATGATAGAGAGCTTCTTTGCCTCAAAGCTATTTTTAAACCAGGAAAAAGCCTTCGGGAGTGGACTGCTCATGCAGACATAATGTGGATGAGCGTGATAGGTGTGATTACCATGCACACAGACAGTGAAATGGGGGTGAGGGGGGAGGGGACTCCTGGAAATAGCACTGAGATCAGAAATTCTGTCCCACTTACTGCTGAAGTACCTCCAGCAAACCTTTTAACTTTTTTTGTGCTTCAGTTTCTGCACCTGGAAAATTGAGATTTGAGATTGTTTAGTTGTAATTTGTTTGAATCTTGACTGCTAATAAATGAAATGTCAGAGAATTAAGCGTTACTTATTACTCATTGGATCAACTAATATTCATTGAATTCCTACTCTGCCTCAGACACAGTGATAGGCATTGAATCATCATGGAGATTATTACAAATTATAGCAGCATTAATGTACACCCTCCCAGTCATTGACTTTGAGTATCCAGTTCTCTGCAAAAATTATTAAAGGTACATTGTTGCTTATTTCTTCTGATTTATTTTAGGGTTGTCACTGATGCCTTATGTTATATTTGTGATTGTGTGTGCCATCTAACTTTTCTCGTTCGTTGAAACTCGGCTTTTACTGTACCTTCTAGGAAGCAATTGAAAAGAAAGAACAACGAGCTAAGCGCTTCCATTTACGATCAGAAGTAAATCTTGCCCAAAGAAATATCGCCTTGGACCGAGACATGATGAAGAAAGGTACTGGGTGTTTGGGGGGACTTTTTCCACATTTCCCCAGATAGTAACGTTTCCTGCCATGGCTGGTGCTTCTGGCCTTGCCTTGCATGTCCAGTCCTCATTCAAATACTCCCAAAGGAAAGAGACGTGTGATGTCTCCATTTTTGAGGAGGTCTGTTTAAAGTTGTGTTAGCCGTGTCTCAGATGTTAGAGCTGGGAAAAAAAGATTGTCTTGTCAGAGGAGGCCCAATGAAAGTCACCCAGTTAGTGGCAGAGCTGAGATTAGAACCTGTGCTTCTACGGAAGCTTACCCATTTCTGCTCTTATCATAGGAAGCTTAACTTTTCTTTGTCTTCAAATGTATTGGAAGTAGCCAGAGCCAGTTTGGCTCAGTGGCTAGATTGTCTGCCTGCAGAGAGAAGGGTGCCGGGTTCCATTCTGGTCAAGGGCACATAACTCAGTTGCAGGCTCCTGGCCCTGGTTGGGGGCATGCAGGAGGCAACCAATTGATATGTCTCTCTCACATTGTTGTCTCTCCCTCCCTCCCTCCTTCCCTCCCTCCTTTTACTCTGTAAAAATTAATGGAAAAAACATCCTTGCCTGAGGATAATAAAATAAAATAAACGTATTAGAAGAATATCACAGCGAGACCTCTTTAAGGGGAGTCAGAGCAGTATTGGATTGGTAGGGAAAAGTTGTCATTCTTCTTTAGATGCAGGCTTGTGGTTTTATCTTATTTTTCTATTTTATTAGGATAATTGTTTTGCTGCTTGGAACTCACCCTGAATTAAAAAGAGTAATCTGCCCCAGTCTTCTGACACAATTTATAAAATAAAGAGAAATTTTTTACTGAGTTCATAGCCATACTTATTATTCCACGCTAATATAAAATAAATCCATGAGTACAAAAGGTCTCCCTCTGTTGTATTTGCAAATTTGGGTATTTCTGAAGGACTTAATAGGCAGACCTCTGCATGTTAAATGTCTGTGCTCTGCTCTATGAGTTTCTCTAGGCTTGCTTGATTGATAAAAGTATGTTGAATGAACGAAAGAATAGCTACTGTTTTGAGGAACTTGCTGTCTTACCTGGCACTATGTTTGTTGGCATATTGCACATTCGTTTCTTATTTGTTTCTCACAACAACCCTATGAAGAATATATTTTGTATTCCTGTTTTACAGAGAAGTAGAAATAGGCTCAAAGAAGTTTAATAAATGCCTGAGGTTATGCAGCTAGTAAAAGTGGAGTCAGGATTTCAGGGGTTCAATTCCTGGTCAAGGGGATGTACCTTGCTTACAGGTTCCCTGGCCCTGGTGGGGACTCATGCAGGAGGCGACCAGTTGCTTGGTGTCTGTGATATGACAGCACAGACTCAAATCTCCTCAGTCTGTCCCAGTGGGTAGAGTAGCTTGGATACAGAGCTCAACTCTGAATCCTGCTTTACAGTTTTTTCTGCCTCATGAGTTCAAGTTGGAAATAGGACCTTGCTTCCCTTGCAGGCTGGGTTTCCAGGCATCTATCTGGGTGGACTTCAGTTTCAGGAAAAGCCCTATGAGGGCCAAGGATAGCTGTGCAGCTTGGCATTCCTGTGCCTGCTCAGTCTGGGCCCAAGCAGAGCTCTGACTCCTCTCATAGCTGCAGCTGGCTAACTTCTAGCCTGTGAGCGTTCACTGTGGCAATTCGTGCCTTTTCATTCTGCTCATTTTGCCCTTCCTTGTCCCATGCTTTGTCTTGTCAGATGTCATTTTCTCCATGAAGCCCTAATCACCCACTCACATTTCTTTCCTCTGTTGCAGCTCTTTGATGTGCTGTGTCCTCCTGGAATCTTTCTCCCAGACCCCTTGTGAATGTGGATAAGTTATTGAACCTTGTTAGGTCTCAATCTCCTTGTTTATAACGTGAGAATATGATACCTACCTGAATAGTATAACTTTTGGGGTTAAATTAAAAAAAAAATTTTTTGTTTTTGAAAAGCAATTTTAATCTTATGGTTCTTAAGATATTCCTAAAAAGCAATAGATGTGCTGAAACCGGTTTGGCTCAGTGGATAGAGTGTTGGTCTGTGGACTGAAAGGTCCCAGGTTTGATTCCTGTCAAGGGCATGTACATTGGTTGCAGGCACATCCCAAGTAGGGGGTGTGCAGGAGGCAGCTGGTCGATGTTTCTCTCTCATCGATGTTTCTAGCTCTCTATCCCTCTCTCTTCCTCTCTGTAAAAAATCAATAAAATATATTATTTAAAAAAAAAAAAAAAAAAAGCAATAGATGTGCCTGGATGAGCAGGGACACGTTGCTCATTATAATCTGTTTTTTATCCAGAAGGCAGCATGGTCTAGGGTAGTATTCCTGAACTCTGGAGAACCCTGCTGCCTATCCCAGATCAGTTTAAATAAGGATGGGAGGTACGCGAGGGGTTTGAATAGGTCCCAGCAATAGTTATTTTTATATCTCGCTAAATAATTCTAATGTACAGTCAAGATTGAGAACCATTAGTGTGGTGATTAAGAGTGTGGGTTCTGGCCCTGGCCTGTTGGTTCCATGGTTACAACGTTGGCCCATGGACCGGAGAGCTGGGCCCATCCTGGCCAAGGGGCTGTGCCTCGGTTGCCGGTCCCCTGGCCCTGGGGGGGCTCACGCTTGTGGTGACCAGTTGATATCGTGTCTCTTTCATGTTGATCCCCCCCCGCTCTCTTCCTTCCTCTAAAATCAGTTTTTTAAAAAAGAAAAGAGTGTGGGTTCTGAAGCCTAGCTGTCTATATTCGAATCCTGACCTGTTCCTTTCTAGCTCTGTGCCTTGGGGAAGTTACTTAGGCTCTAAGAAACTCAGTTTCTTCCTGTGGAGAGGCAGAGCACGGTGCTTTTACTAGGGTTGTTGGGAGGCTCTAGCATAATGTACAGTTCTTATGTCTGGTACATAGTAAGTCCCCAATAAATGTTAGTTGTTATTTTCATTATCTGGCATTTTCCATCTCCCAAGCAGTCTTCTAAGTGGCTAGCCTCTTGGGAGAATGGGAACATTGGAATAAACATCTTGACTCCTGCAGCCACATTAGGTGTCAAATTATTGCTTCTTAATATCAATGATACCGTTTGGTAAATGCTTGCTATATGCCACTCAGCCCTGTGAAGGGAAGGTAATCGCCATTTCTGTTTTACTGATGGGGAAACTGAGGTGCTGAGAGGTAGAGAACCTTGCCTGAGGTCCCAGTAGCAAGTAGCTAGGTAAGTAGCAAAGCTGGGATTTGCAGGCTGGCCTGGCTGAAGCCTGTGCTCCTAACCTCTCTGCCAGCTCTCAGGGGGAGTGTGCGATGTGCTGCCTGATCATTCTGCCTCAGAAGTGACTTGCTGCTTACTTACTCTTAGCGACTGCTTTCCTTTCCTTACCCCCAAGATCAAAGCTTTCAGGGTTGGAAGGAACCTCAGAGGTCATCAAAGGTCACCTCCTGCCCCGGGCTGCAGGCCTTTTGGCAAAGTTCCCAGTGGTCTTTTGGCTTCTGCTTGAACATTGCAGAAGGACTATTTATGAAGCAGCTAATTTTGGTTTTGGATACATGTTAATACATGTTCCTTATGTTGAACAGAAATTGCTTTCTTAAAATTTCTGTCCATTAGTTAGTTATTGTGTGACCCTTAGAACAACATTATGTTCTCTCCTCATTCAATAATAATCCTTCAGGTGAATGAGCAGTAAGCCCATTTCCTACACTTTATTTATGTAAATTGACTTTCTAGCCTCTCGCCTCTAAACTCTTTTTCAGTTTCTAAATGTCCTTCATAAGGTGAGGAGTAGATTCCAGATATTGTTGGATTCCCGGAGAGAATGGCAGGGCTCTACCTCGATTTCTTTCTTAGCCGTTGCGTAGTGTACTCACCTGCTAGTCAACCGAAGCACGCAGGTCTTCTCCTTGGAAATTCTCCCCATCAAACAGTCTTGTCTGGTACTTGAGGCACTGTTTAAGAATTACTTTATTTACCTTTACCAAATTATATCTTATTAATTTCAAAACTCCATTTCAGTCTGTCGAGTTCATTTTCATCTTACCTGCACCTTTTAGCATTTTAGCTATATTCCTCACTTTGGTATGCCAGTCTTCTGCATCTTTATCCAGCTGTTGGTAAATGTTGATCATGAAAATCCCATATCATGCCATGAGACATAGATCCGTGAATTATAAGTCTTAGTTTATTATCAGGTCCACATTTCACTTTATTGTCACGACGAGCTAAATTACATGCCTTAATGGTCTCGAGATAGAACTTGAATTTCTTGGTGTGAGGAATTGCTGCCAAAAAAAAGAAAAGAGGTTTGTGTGGCTTGCTTCTTAGAGAACTCACATCATTTCCAAGGGAAAGACTTGGTTTTATTTTTTGTTTGTTTCGTTACTCTTCACCCGAAGATATTTTCAGTGATTTTTTTTTTTTTTTTAAGAGAGTGAAAGGGAGGGGGAGAGACAGATAGAGAGAAACATCTCTGTAAGAGACACCCATCGATTGGTTGCCTCCCGTGCACACCCTGACCAAGGACAGGGATGAAGCCTGCAACCAAGGCACATGTTCTTGACCAGAATCGAACCTGCATCCTTTCATTCCACAGGCCGACATTCTGTCCACTGAGTCAAACCGGCTAGAGTGAGACTTGGTTTCTTAAGGGATTGTAGATTCTGTTTGATCAGCTCCTTTTAAAAATTCCAGAGAATTACATTAAATTAAAAAAAAAAAATATATATATATATATATATATATATATATATATATATATATGTATATATATATATATATATATATTTTTTACCTGGGGATATGTTTTATTGATTTAGGGAGGAAGGAAAGGGTGGGAGGAGAGAAAGAGAGATATTACATCTATCAACTGCCTGACTGCGGATCAAACCTGTAACTTTTTGGTGTATGGGGGGGGGAAAGCCATTGGCATTTTTGATGAGCCTATATACTCTGAACTGTACCCTTTTCTTCATTACACATTTCACAACTCACGTTCACCAAAGAAAACTTGGGAAGGAGAGTAAGAAAAGTTGCCCAGAGTCTAACATAAAACCCAGTCATTGTCAGCATTTTGTGTATTTCCTTCTAATCTTTTCTGCATGCGGATTTTATTTTGTTTCTCCCTTTCCTTTTCACTTGACAATCTGCCATCTGCATTTTCCAGATCATTATATAGGCTGCTGTTAGTCTTTTAGATCTTATATTTGTTCTTTTACCTTTGTCATTAGTCATTTACCCTTTGTCTGTCTCCCATATGTGTTATTTGGCAGAGTGTCTCACCCAAGCTTTGCTGCCTGTTCTTTCCTTGGGAATCACCTCTCATATTCTGAGTAACTATATTTAATGTCTTACAAATTTTTTCAACATCTTAGTGTGAGGCCTTGGGATTGGCTTCTTTTTCTCTGGATTTTCAGAAATCTACTTTCCTACTCCCTGTCATTCATTGTTTTCTTTCCTGGTAAAAACAAGCAAGATGATGCCCTTACCACCTTGCTGGTAGTCAGCACTCGGTAAATGGCCAGTTCTCATCCCCTCATCCATCTGTTCACCGCCATCTCAGCAGTTAGCCTTCCTCACTGATTGGACACAGATCTAGGCTCCTGCTTTGTTTTATTTTAAGCAGTGACATTGTCAGCAAGGTGAGGAAGTATTGAGCATTCTCCTTTGGCAGTCTTCCATCACATTTTGAGCTTAACAAGGTTTCATCTCCAGTGCATCTTGCCACAGTTGGTTTGGTTCTCTTTTGAGAATGAACTTTTCTCCCAGCTCATTGAAACGTTTACCTTTGTAGTGATAATGGCTTTTGTATCCATACCGGCTTCTTTTGAACAAGACTGTTGATTGCCCATTTCTAGATGTGTATACCATTCTCTGTACATTAAAATAAAGCCCAGCCGGCGTGGCTCAGTGGTTGAGCATCACCCCATGAGCCAGGAGGTCACGGTTTGATTCTCAGTCAGGGCTCATGCCCAGGTTGCAGGCTCGATCCCTATGGGGTTGGGTGTAGGAGGCAGCCCATCAATGACTCTCTCATCATTGATGTTTCTATCTCTATCCCTTTCCCTTCCTCTTTATAAATATCAATTTAAATAAAGACAACTGAAGCCAGAAGTTTTATTCCTTATTGTCTTTTGTTTATAAGCTATTTCTGCAGGTTTGTGTCTTTGTTTTTGTAATAAAAGCATTATAATGTTAGAACAGTGCTATGATGCTCTTGGTATTTATTTACTTAGGTATTTCCTTATTGCTTGTCTTATTTATAAATAAACCCCGTTATCAGGTCAACAAGTGTTCCTCAGACTTTTTCCCCGGTCTGTTTTCTCTGCCATCTCCAGGAGCTCTTCCTGTTGTTTGTTCCCTCTCTACTTCCCCTGGGACCCTTTTCATCCATACTCATGGCCTTTAGCTCCAAGAACTGAAAAGGCCCCCTGGTCTGACTCCTTCAGTTTCCCAGCCTGGATGTCCACTGTGAACACCTGGCTCATTTGGGCTTGTTCAGTGTTGTACCGCTGGTCACTAGTAAGGATTTGCAGAGATTCAAAGGTCTTAACAGTATCTCCATCTTCATAATCTGGGTGGCAGGAAGGTATCACCTGATTTACCAGGTAGTCTGGACACACCTATGTGGGCTCCCCTTAAACCTTTTACTCTTCAAAATGATAAAACAGATATCTTTGTGTGAGCTACTGTATGAACCCACATGAGGAGTAACTAGGCCTAAAGGTCACGTGCTAAATTACATTTATAGCAGGCACTTCCAATTTGTTCTTGAGTGGCTGTGCCACTTCTCAATCCCGCCAGCAGAGGGAGGAGGGCTCTTTTCTCCACCCTACCAACAATTGATAGTAAAATACATAAATTTAAAAAAATTCTAGTAATTGAAAAGTGGTATCTTGTTTTAGTGTGTGTTTTTCTGATTGTGAGGTCAGCCATCTTTTCATATATTTATTGTATTTCCTGTTGTGTGAATTGTCTAGTACTCATGTTCTTTGCCGGTTTTTATTTTAAGCTGTCATTTTATCAGTATTTATAAGATTTCATTACTTTAGTTTCCTTCTTTGCTTTATATCCAGGGGCAGCGTCTCTTCTTTTTCAGAAATGGCCTGAACTGTTCCACATTTTTCTTCCATAAATATTTAAAACCTGGTGACCATGTGCCCTCTTTTGTGCACATTGAAAGGAAATTAATTCGAAGGTGGCCAGTGAGGCAGGACTGGGTGTGATGGGCTGGACAGACCCTGGAGGCAGCCTCCCGTGTCCCTCCCTGGTGTCTGTGGAGTGAGTAGGGTCCCTCGGGCTGGCCTGTGGGGGTCAGGCCAGAACTGGCTCTCTGACATCCCCCGAGGGGTCCCGGAGAGGGAGAGGGCACTCTGCAAAGTTGCTGTCATGCAGGGTGTGGAACACAAACACAAGTGCGCAGTAAACCAGATTTGGGGCCTAGAGTGCCCCAGCAACAACATAACCCACGGCTGAAGGTGAAACCGCGCAGCACCATGAGGAATCGGGCTCCCTCCTCTCTGGTTTCGGGGTGTGTCACCCAAGGACCGCCGCTGCCAAGTCACTGCAGCTTGGCAGCTCCCTGGTGATCAGTATGTGTCATAGCGACCGGATGGTCAGCCGGTTGATGGGCTACATAGGCTTTTTTATATATAGATTTTAGAATCAGCTTGCCTAGTTTAATGAAAAAGCCTATTGAATTTGGCATTGCTTAATTGCAGGTTAATTTGGGGAAAGGTATTGTGTATTTTATCAACATTAATTGTTCAATCTTTCTTAGCCTAAAAACCTGTTCTGACTTAAATAATTGATTTAATGCTGTTTGGTCTGTGATAAAAAGCAAAACAATACCTTGCTGTCATCTCTCCTTTTCTTTTAAAATAAATGCCATCTCTTTCAGCATATTTCTTTCTAAACACACGTTACCTGAACTGTGTAATAGGGTGGAGTGTGCAGTAGTGGGTGGGAAAATCCTATCATCTTTTCTGTGTCCTGTGTTTTTAGCAATCCCCAAAGTGAGACTGGAGACAATCTACATTTGCGGAGTAGATGAGATGAGTACCCAGGATATCTTTTCCTATTTTAAAGAATATCCTCCGGCTCACATTGAATGGTTGGATGATACCTCCTGTAAGTATACCCAAGTTTTCTGTTAAATATGTTTTTGCTTATGATTTTGAAATTATTCTTGCCACCTCAGATGGTGAATGACTATGGCAGATACTTGTCTGTGTCTAACCTCTGCCATTAGTGTAGAAGAGGAAAAAAATCCCCATTGATGAGAACCAGATACATTAACTAATCTACCAGATTATACCCCATGAGTATTCTAAGTCAGCTCAGAGTGGTGACCAAGGCTTATGAAGCTCGTTGCTAGCATCTGAGCCCAGTGTACGATTAAGGCCTCTTGAATTCCCACAATTTCCCAACAAAGGGGTGGATCCAGCTGTGTGGACGGGCTGAGGGCTGTGTTTTCAGAGCTTTAGACTTTGTCATTGCAACTTGCCATACAGTTGATTATCCAGGTGCTGGCTCTGCCTCAGTGTCTCTAATTAGAACTATATCAGAAACCCTGCCACTTTACCAGACCTGTGAGCTGTTAAACTTGTGAGCCAACTGTAATTTTTAACTTGCCTTCCCACTCCAAGTCTGTTCTGACTGGTGATCACGCTACTGGCTTTTTGTCTCGATTCATTTCTAGTCTGGCTTCCCTTACTGCTAGCTTGCTGGCCTACCAGGTTGTGCTCGGTATAGCAGCCTGGTTTTTCTGGCTGCTTTCTTTAAAAGATGTTGATTCAGCCAGGACCGGTTTGGCTCAGTGGATAGAGGTCGGCCTTCGGATTCAAGGGTCCCAGGTTCGATCCCGGTCAAGGGCATGTACCTTGGTTGCGGGCATGTCCCCAGTAGGGGGTGTGCAAGAGGCAGCTGATCAATGTTTCTCTCTCATCGATGTTTCTAACTCTCTCTTCCTCTCTGTAAATGTCAATAAAATATATTTTTTAAAAAATAAAATAAAAGATGTTGATTCAGTGTTTTCATTGAAAGAAGAAACATGACTGAGTAAAATATTTTTTTCCTGTTTCCTTTTTCCTTAACCTGTTAACCGAACGGGACCTATAAATACGTCAAACGTAAACAATATCGGGAACGGGTAGGACGTATGAATACGTCCTTGAAATATATGTTGCGCCCCGAGAGGGACGGTATATATTTTTTGTAATCTTTTTTTTTTTTAATATTTTATTGATTTTTTACAGAGAGGAAGGAAAGGGGAGGGATAGAGAGTTAGAAATATCGATGAGATGAGAGAGAAACATCGATCAGCTGCCTCTTGCACACCCTCACTGGGGATGTGCCGGCAACCAAAGTACATGCCCTTGACCAGAATCGAACCCAGGACCTTTAGGTCCGAAGGCCGACGCTCTATCCCCTGAGCCAAACCTGTTTCGGCTATTTTTTGTAATCTTTATCATTGTTTGTAAAATTTATAATTTTTTAATTTAACGTGTCCATTTTTATTTGTCGGTATTCTATTTTTTTTGTAATTTTGTATTTTCCTTTGTGCTTTATATATATAAATAAATGAATATATATACATATATATTCATTTATTTTCATTAATTATAAATAAAAAAAATAATATGAAATTACGTCCTCCGGGCGTGACGTACTGACACGTCCTAGTGAAAGAGTACGCACCCGTTACAGGTTGCGTCATTAAAAAGGGCTGGGTTGTAAATATTTTAGGCTTTGCAGGTCGTATAGTCTCTGTCATTTATTCAGCTCTGCCATAGAGCATGAGAAAAGCCATCGACGGTATGTAGTTGAACGAGCCTGGCTATTTTCTATAGAGCTTTATTTTACAAAAACAGCCAGAACCAGTTTGGCTCAGTGGATAGAGTGTCAGCCTGTGGACTGAAAGGTCCCAGGTTCAATTCCAATCACGGGCATATACCTTGGTTGCAGGCACATCCCCAGTAGGGGGTGTGCAGGAGGCAGCTGGTCGATGTTTCTCTCTCTTCGATGTTTATAACTATCTGTCTCCCTTACTCTCTGTAAAAAAAATCAATAAAATATTTTTTTAAATTTATTTTACAAAAACAGGCAGTGGATGTGTAGTTTATTGTACATTAATTAAACCTAAGTAAATCTGGTACACATCTAAACAAATAAATGACAAATGATGGGCTGGATTTGACCTGCAGGTTTTAGTTTGCTATCCACTGGTTTAAGTCATTAAAACTAGATAAGGGATATTGCAGTTGGAGAGACCTTTAGAATTATCCAGTTCAGCTACTTTATATTGTGCATCAGAAACCAAGAAACTGAGAAACAGAGAAGGTAAATTGTCCAAGGCCACATGGTGTGTTAGTAACAAAGGTGAGACTCTATAAGAAGTCTCAAAATCTTTTTTCTTTTTGGCTAAATTCTTTCTTTAAAGAAGCAAATTCAGTTAGTTGCTACAAAGCCAAGAGTCTGTTATGTCTCCATTGTATATATCCATGATGGTACCATCCTCATTGGGAGAGCATCATTTAAAAGCATGTCTGGATGATAAGGAATAGCATAGGGCTTCCTTGGAGGGGCAGTGGTATAGAGGGCAATCCACATTTATTTGATAACCAGAGGCCTGGTGCACAAAAATTTGATTTCACCTTCAGCCCGGCCTGCTCCTCTCAGCCTGGCCTGCCCCCTCTCAGTCTGGAGCCCTCAGGGGATGTGCTGCTGACGACTTAGGCCCGCTTCACATGGGGAGCCCGCCTAACCTGCAGTCTGGCCTCCCTCTGCAGGAGGCGACTGGGCTGATCAGGGGAAGGCGCCATCCCCATCACCCCACTGCTGCTGCTGGCCATAGCGGCTGCCTGAGCCCATGGCTGCCTGAGCCCCGGGCCTCGCATCTGCTGTGGCTTGGACCGGATGGATGTCCAGAGGGACATCTGGAAGATGTCCAGACTAATTAGCATATTATATTCCCTTTTATTACTATAGATTATCATCATCCTCATCAAGAACTAACACATAGCACTAAGTGCCAGGCAGTTTTATTATGTAAACACTTTTGCATGGAATCTTTGACCATTATTTCGTGGAACCCAGTTGGGGAATGCAGTTTAAGGCCACTTTCATCAAAGAGGTTTTACTACTACTTCCTATTCTTTTCATTTGTTGGTTTGTATATTTATTGCTCTCAATCTGTACCTAGATGAGGTTTAACAATGAATATGGTTATGGATAATAAAGAACATTATAAACTGATGGACCAAAAGATAGATATAGAGACAGTAAAGCAACAAGCAGACTGTCAAATTACAGCGGGGCGGGTAGGGAGGTCTGGGGGAAATAATAGATGAACCGAAGGATTTGTATACATGCATATAAGTACAACCAATGGACACAAAACTCTGGGGAGGGAGGGTATGAATGAGAGGGGAGGAGAATGGTAAGATATGTACACAGATAATAATTTAATTAAAAAAAAAAAAAGCCAACTCATTGGCACAGAAGTATAAAGGTAACCAGTATCCCCCTGGTTTCTCTGATTTTTGAACATGATTCTCCTGTCATTAAACAATGTGTTACACATAAAAAAAAAGAAAAAAAAGAAAAAACACACGCCAAGATTGGTTTGGCTCAATGGATAGAGCGTCGGCTTGGGGACTGAAAGGTCCCGGGTTCGATTCCGGTCAAGGGCATGTACCTTGGTTGTGGGCATATCCCCAGTAGGAGGTGTGCAAGAGGCAGCTGATCGATGTCTATCTCTCATCGATGTTTCTAACTATCTCTCTCCCTTCCTCTCTGTACAAAATCAATAAAAAAATGTATTTAAAAAAAACAAAAAAAAACCAACAATGAATCTGATGCAGTTTCTGCTCTCAGGAAACTTAACCATTTGGATGTGATGATGTTGTTTTATTTTACATTTTATTTTAGGTAATGTGGTTTGGCTGGATGAAATGACAGCCACACGAGCCCTTATCAATATGAGCTCTCTGCCAGACCTGGATAAGATAAAAAGCAGGGATGCCAATGAGGACAAGTCATCTGAGAAAAGCAAAAAAGGTAACTGAACACAAAGAGGGGACTTTTGGGCTGAAAGTCCTATTATTTACTCAGTTGGTCTGGGTTTCTGTGCAAAGTGTTATATAGTATCTCAGCGCTAGTTATTTCTGAAAAAGGCTTTGATGTTTTGGAATATTAGTAAGTAGATGGAGAAAATAATCGGACTTTTAAATGATATGAGATGGAGTTATTTTAAAGATCATCTTGTCCTGCACATTCCATTTTAGACAAGCAGGAAGACAGTTCAGATGATGAGGCTGAAGAAGGAGAAGTTGAAGATGAAAACTCAAGTGACGTAGAGGTTAGTAATAGGGAAAATACATGTGTAAGGTTTCACTGTAAGAAACTGTTTTTATTTAAGGCTTAAAGACTTAAGTTGCGTTCTTCCTCTGGCTCTCACCGCTAGACTTCCTGAGGGCGCACCAGACCCTTGCTTTTTAAGTTTGTGTGAGAATAATGCACGATTTATCTTGAGATCTTAGAATAGTACTCACATTTCTGTAAGAGAAAATGATTTTGTTAAATACTTTGAAGTGTTACATAATAAGTAAAATTTGGAAAAAGCAAGAAATGGCATATTTCCTAACAGATTATATACTACTGTTGGAAAAATTAAAGTGTATTCATATAAAAAGATGCATTATACAGCTTCAAGCCAAGCAAAGTCTTTGCTCTCTTGGAGCTTACATTCTAGTGGGGAAAACAGATAATACAGATACACTGATGCAGGTATATAAAACAATGTCAGGCATTGATAATTGCCATGAGGGAAATTAAGAAGGGTCAGTGGATAGCGTGATGGAAACCATTGTTTGACAAAGTGGTCAGGGAAGACCTCTGACTTAGAACCTAGTGCAGTAATACTGAGAGTGTTATTAAAGGCAGAATGCTTTCTTAATCAATGGTAACTGCTTCTGAATAAAAGAGAAAATGGCTTTAATTTTTTATATTGAAATGCTCTTTTTTCTTAAGTTGGAAACATTATCTCAGGTAGAAGAAGAGTCTCTGCTAAGAAACGATCTTCGTCCAGCTAATAAACTTGCTAAAGGAAATAAGTTGTTCATGAGATTTGCTACAAAAGGTAAATATGGTATTTGCTCTTGATTTTTATTATTAATCAAAGTGATTTATTATTGAATGACATCCTTCTCTTTTGAATCAGAGGTTAGATCAAGTAATCTCAAACTGTAATATTTTGTGCTTATGAAATGATGGCTTGTTGCCCGAGTTGGAATTTCTGACCTGGAAAGTAAATACTAACTATTTGTGCTCTTTTGTGATTTCTGGCTAAAGAAGTTATTTTCTGTTAAAGCTCGTTTGTCCATGTGCTTTTTAGCCAATTTATCATCTGAACCATGAAAACCTTTTAAAATTTTATATTTTTATTTATCACAGTAATAACCTCTTGGACATTGCTCATAGTGCCCTTCAGGTCTAATTCTCTAAGGCCATGGTTGGCGAACTATGGCTCGAGAGCCACATGCGACTTTTTAGTTCCTTGAGTGTGGCTCTTCCATAAAATACCACGGCCTGGGCGAGTCTGTTTTAAAGAAGTGGCATTAGAAGAAGTTTAAGCTTAAAAAATTTGACTCAAAAGAAATTTCAATAGTTGTACTGTTGATATTTGGCTCTGTTGACTAATGAGTTTGCTGACCACTGCTCTAAGTAATTATTGTCAAGCCTATAATTTGTAAGGCTTTTTATACACAGTGATTTTCGGTGCACATTAAACCCCCACACTGTTTCTTTTTAATTGTTTGACAGTTAATTAGAAATGACCCTTCATTTTTTAATACTTCAATATGTATTCATGAAGAATGAGGATTTTGTCTTACACAGAGCACACTTATCAAAATCGAGAAATTTAGCATTAATACACAATAATCCATAATCCACATTCAGATTTCATTAGTTGTTCCAGGAATTCCTCATTCTGACATTAAACTGCCTGACACACAGTGAGTGCTGTTTGTAGCAGTGTTTGATGACAACGACGATGATAATTGTCAAATAAATTTGGACTTTCCTTTTACTGCTCCCTCTTCCTCTCCTCCCCTCTCTCCTCCCCCCACCCCCCAACCTGGGGTCCACTCCAGAGCGAGTGTTCAACTAATCCATGTCTCCTCAATCTCCCTGGATCTGGACCTGCTCTGTTTTCCTTGACTGAACCATTTCTTTCTTTTTCTTTTTTTTCTTTTTTTTAAAATATATTTTATTGATTTTTCACAGAGAGAAAGAGAGAGGGGTAGAGAATTAGAAACATCAATGAGAGAGAATCATTGATCAGCTGCCTCCCGCACACCCCCTACTGGGGATGTGGATGTGCCCACAACCAAGGTACATGCCCTTGCCCAGAATCGAACCCGGGACCTTTCAGTCCACAGGCCGACGCTCTATCCACTGAGCCAAACCGGTCCCGGCTGAACCATTTCTTAAAAAGATAGGTTCATTATTTTATAGACAACCCTTTGGTTTGGTTTTGTCTTGTGTTTCTTTCTGATTTGGGTTGTGCATTTTAGGCAGGAATACCACAGAAGTGATAATGTGTTGTTCTCAGTGCCTCATGTCAGGAGGCACGTGATACTGTCCCATACCGGGATGGTATCTTTCATCACTGGGTTAAGGTGATGATCACCAGGTTTCTCCAAACCGTCAAGTTGCTGTTTTTCCATTTGTGATTTAAAAATTTGTGGGAAGATACTTTGAGATTATGTAAGGAGCCTATTGCTCATCAGGCTTTCATGCAGTCACTTTAGCATCTGTTGATTTATTAACTGCATCATTTATTAGTTAGCCGTCTGCTATAAGGAAGAGCTTTTCCTTTTACCCATTTATTTATTTACTTATATCAGTTTAGGCTCATGTAGTTTTGTTTTATTCATTGGGTTATCATCCATTGTTGTCATTATCTTGATTCGAGAATTGCCTTTGATTTGGCCAGTAGAGCCCCTTCCACTGTGTGCTTCTGACATGTCTCCATGATTCTTGGACCACTTTCTCTATGGCACACTAAAACATCTTGTTTTTCCAGACCCAACTTGTATTTTCCCCGCCTCTGATCTGGAACTAGCTGATTCTCGTCAGGCACGTTTTTTTTTTTTTTTTTTTTTTTGTAGGGGGGCATACTAGTTTGTGTGACTAAGTTTACCCATGGCACTGATACTTTCATATTGGGGTTTGTCCTTTGCAGTCAGTGAGTGCCCAAAGAGCTGTTCAAGTCCTTTATATTATGAAAAGTATGTGTGATCACTGACCACCTTTCTTTCCTACTAATGGGTCTTTTAACCTGACAAAGGGATCTTCTCTGCATTTACTGATTTGAGTGGTGGAGAGCATTCTAGATATATATATATATATATATATAGTACTTTAAGCCATTTTGAGGAAATCACGATAAACTGGAAAAAATGGTTTATCAAATATATGGAATTCTGTATAGTCTGCTTCTTTAATCCTGATTCTGTGTTATTGGTATGTTATGAATCAGAAATGAATATAAGCCCTAGCCAGTTTGGCTCAGTGAATAGAGCGTTGGCCTACGGACTGAAGGGTCCCGGGTTTGATTCTGGTCATATGCCCGGGTTGTGGCTCGATTCCCAATGCAGGAGGCAGCTGGTCAATGATTCTCTCTCATTACTGATGTTTCTGACTTTCTATCCCTCTCCCTTCCTCTCTGAAATAAACAATATATATATTTACAAAAAAAAAAAAAAAAGAAAGAAATGAATATCACCTTTCAGGGGGCAGTGAAAATGCCACCTTTTCTAAAAAGCCCATTTGATGCCTGAGCACTTGTAATGATTGAAGCTCTGTCATGCTTCTTAGAACCTTATGTCTTGTATTGTTGGGGTTTAATAGTGGTATTTCCTCTATGAAGTATTTCCTCCTTGACAGCTGCTTCACCTCATTCATCTCTGTTTTGCTTCCCCTTCATGTCCTTCCCCTCCCCTACACACACACACACACACACACACACACACTGCCTTAGTGGGCACAGAGAGAGGGAATGTTTGCAGTGCATCTTTCCCTTCTGTTGGCTGATTGTGCTGACCTATCCCAGCTAAGCAAAACAGTCTTATTTATTTATTTTTAACTCTAACACATTGTTTTCACACCCACAGGAAATCCTAGGTAACTGTTGTAATTAATTTTTAGATGACAAAAAAGAACTTGGAGCAGCCAGAAGAAGTCAGTATTACATGAAATATGGGAATCCAAATTACGGAGGCATGAAAGGAATTCTTAGTAATTCTTGGTGAGTCCAAAAGTATAAAACACAGTAGTTAAACTTTGCTTAACCCTTTAGTTGGTATTCTGCAGTGGAATGTCAACTCCATGTGTGGATTCGAAGGAAGACAGGAGGGAAGAGTGCAGGATTCTTAACTGTGGTAAAGGTGTGAGAATATGAGCTTCAGTTTCATTTCAGATGTCTGTCTCAGCACCGGACATTTGTCATTGTGAAGTTGAAATTAATCAGTGGGTTTCGTGGTCCTTCCTGTTGGTCTTTGATTATGTGCTTATTTTGACAATGTTGCAGGAAGCGGAGATATCATTCCCGTCGCATTCAGCGGGATGTGATCAAGAAGAGAGCCATGATTGGGGATGATGTTGGCTTGACGTCCTATAAACATCGACATTCCGGTAGTTGCCTGCTCAGCTCTTGGGTAGACACATGTTTGGCTCCCGAAATCATATTTTTACTCTTAATACAGTCTTTTAAGGTTCCAAACTTTATCATCCTCTCTTCCTTGCCCTCACCCTCTGCCAACATATAGGAAAGTAAGTCAAGTCACAATTAATTTTAAATTGCCCATACAAAGAGGTCAAATGATTTTATAAAAGCTGTTCTAATAAAAAAGATCAAATGTGACATAGGGAGAATGAAAATAAAACTATTCTTAGGAATCTTAATTTTTCCTTTTTATATCAAAAGCTGTATGAAAAATTTTTTTTTAAATATTTTATCAGATGAGCTGATTTTATTGTTCCTTTATCTGAAAATGAAAATAGACTGCTATAGCTAGTGTTTTATGCGTATTGGCTTGTGCACATGAATGTCTCCAGAAAAATAGGATATCATGACTTGGGTTTTTTTTTTCTTTCTTCTCGTCTTTCTTTGCTTATTGTTAAAGAACCATTTTCATTATGTTTTATAAAGATTTGTTTTTTATTTTGAACCTAAGCTGTGGGATCTTCCACATGCTTGGTAGAACAAGAACTAGCTGAGTGAACATATAAACATGGAGTAACATGCATACATGTTTATCATTGTAACAAGGACAGGAGAGGTCACATCCATACATTTTTATTTAATGTATATATAGAAAATTATATGTGTGAAATTTGCATTTTATGCAGTTACAGTTTTCCAGTTTCAGTTACATTAAGATATTTAAGATATTTTCATCATGTAATCTTCATAATTATATTAAAAATATTAAAAAGAGAATTGCCCCTAATTCTAGCACTATAATATACTGACTTCATTTTACATTTTTCCTTTTTTTTTTTTTTTATAATAAATGTTACAATTTTTGTAAACATATATTCTATATTCTGCTTTTTCCACTATTTATATGTGTTTTTTCATGAACTTTAAAGTTGCAGTTGATTTTCATTATTTCTAGTGATTATGGTCTGTAAAGTCACCATGACCCTTGAAGGAGTAAATACTGAACCATTGAGAATCTGGTCATACCATTTAGTCAGCTGATCAATATATAACCTTGTCTTTCTGTTTAAAGACACTTTATTTTAATACATACATTTAATACAATCATCAGCATGAATTCACAGTCAGCCAACAGCAATGTAATTCATGTCTGAACAAAGCTGATATAATACACATATTTTCCTCTCCTCTTAAGGTACACTACATCCTCCTTCCATTTAGGAACACTAGACAGTTTTGGCATTACTAAATACTGAAATCACCAACAAACACCACATAAATGTGGAAAATGTGGCACTCGCTAGACTGCAAAAGGACACTTAAGTGTGAGGTGAGCAAGAGGAAAGCGCGGCCTCGTTTGGCCTCTGCTGGGAAGATGCATGTATGGCGGCTCATTTTGCCACGCTGCACAGTCCACTAATGACCGTGAACGCACTGCGACCATTGGTTTTGGAGTTAGAAATAAGTTTGGCAAAGTCAAAAATATAGAATCTGAATAATGGCAGTTGACTGTATTTTAGATAATTTTGTAATCCATGGGTTGCTAGATCACACTTGACCTAGCCATTCTTCTGTTGTAGGTGTCAGAATGGCAGCCAGGTTGGCACTGTGAGAGAGAATGCGTCAATAAAATCTTGGGCATGGGAGCCTTTCTTTTAAAGAAGTCAGTGAAGTAAATAGAAAATTAGACTTGTCATTGTTTTCCCTAATGTTTTTGGTAAAATTCCTTAGGACTAGTGAATGTTCCTGAGGAGCCCATTGAAGAGGAGGAGGAGGAGGAGGAGGAGGAGGACCAGGACATGGATGCCGACGACAGGGTGGTAGTGGAGTACCATGAGGAGCTCCCGGCTCTCAAGCAGACCCGGGAGCGGAGCTCATCCAGGAGGTCCAGTGCCAGCAGCTCAGACTCCGATGAAATGGACTATGATCTAGAACTGAAAATGATTTCCACTCCTTCACCAAAGAAAAGCATGAAAATGACTATGTACGCCGATGAAGTGGAATCTCAGTTGAAAAATATTAGGTAAGATGATTATTCTGTCAGTGATAGCTTTTAATTTGGTTTTAAATACTAATTACTAACTTGGTTTTAATTTCTCTTAGTTTTATAATCTCCTTATCTGTTCTAATTCTAGTCCTTTGTAGAGTTTGAATAAAAGTGTTTGATTTTGCCGGAACCGGTTTGGCTCAGTGGATAGAGCGTCGGCCTGCGGACTGAAAGGTCCTGGGTTCGATTCCGGGCAAGGGCATGTACCTTGGTTGCGGGCACACCCCCAGGGGTGTGCAAGAGGCAGCTGATTGATGATTCTCTCTCGTCGATGTTTCTAACTCTCTATCCCTCTCTCTTCCTCTCTGTGAAAAATCAATAAAATATATTTTTTAAAAAAAAGTGTTTGATTTTTCCTCAAAATATACAAGAAGAGATCCTTGTTATAGACAGTATAAAAGGTGAAAATCACTTGTATAGTCATCCTCTCCTGGACAAGGACGGTTAGCATCTGGGTGAATAACCTTCCCACTAATTCCATGCATACACAGAACACATGGAGAAATTATAGGCATAGTTGTACAAAAGTGAAGTTATGCTACTTACATTGTTTTGCAGTATGCCTTTTCCATTTAACATGTTATAGAGATTCACTATTTTTTCAGCTGTATGTAATTCATTGTTTGAAAGTATCATGGTTTATTTAACCCAATCTCTTATTGATGGATACTTAGGTTTCTATTTTTTTACTATCGCACTAATAGATAAATTCCTTAAATTACAATTATTGCATATGTTTTAAAATATGGTATGCGAAATTTCACTCCAGAAAGGTTTTATTCACTCACATTGCCACCTGAAACCTACATACTCATCAATGTTAGGTATTATTATTTTCTAATTTTTGCTAATTTTATGAACCAGAAAAATAGTTGTGTTTTTGTGTGTTTTTTTTAATCATTACCGAGGATATTTTTTCCATAGATTGCTAGAGTGGAAAGGAGGGAGAAGGGAAGGGATAGAGAAACATCAGCATGAGAGAGACACATCAGTTGGTTGCTCCCTTATGAGCTCCTGCCTGGGCTGGTGAACTTGCAACCAAGCTACTTGGCCTACCGGGAATCGAACCCAAGGCCCTTTGGTCTCAGGCCGACGCTGTAACCACTGAGCAACCAGCCAGGGCAAAAAAACCCCAGTTATTTATTTATTTAAAAAAATATATATTTTATTGGTTTTTTACAGAGAGGAAGAGAGAGGGATAGAGAGTTAGAAATATCGATGAGAGAGAATCATCGATCAGCTGCCTCTTGCACATCCCCTACTGGGGATGTGCCCGCAACCAAGGTACATGCCCTTGACCGGAATCGAACCCGGGACCTTTCAGTCCACAGGCCGACGCTCTATCCACTGAGCCAAACCGGTTTCGGCAAAACCCCAGTTATTTTAATGAGCTTTTCTTTGATGACTAGTGGTGATGAGGATGAGCACATTCCTCAGAGCAGACAGCATATGTACAACTGGAAGGGTTGGAATCTAGGGATGCTTTCTCTAAGTGTTCTTGGTGGTGTATTTGAGAAAAGGAAGGAACCATTCGAGCTGGTTTGTATGGCTTTGTTCACATCCTTATTTTTAGTTTTCACAGAACTTTGTAACGACAAATGCTGCCAAAATAACGCTGATTCCTAGCATGGTAGCAGATGTCTTTGACGGAGAAGTGGGCCCTTAAAGAAAGGGATTGCAGACTCTGTTGTATCTGTCTGCGGCCTGGGTGAGCAGAGGCCTCTCATTGTTTGTCCCAGGAGAAGGGGACTCATAGTTACATGCTCGTGATGGCTGACAGACATCAGGTGTGGAAACCTTGGAACCTGCTCACCTGGCTGGTCTCATTACATCAGGCTGATCATGATTTTTGTAAATAAATAATTACCAGTGTGTAGTATTTGTAAGTGAATGTTAGATTGGGTTTTTGCATGGGTATTGTCCCATAGTTGAAGTTGGTTAGCTGTGTCTTGTTTTGTTTTGTTTTTTCTTAAGGAACTCCATGAGGTCAGATACTACATCAGCAAGCAATATCAAACACCGAATCGGTAACAAATTGCCACCTGAGAAATTTGCGGACGTCCGACATTTATTAGATGAAAAACGTCAGCACACACGCCCACGGCCATCAGGCAGCAGCACTAAATCAGGTATTGTTGTTCAGTCCTGTGTCTGGGCTTCATTCTGAGCTCCAGAGGCAAATGGCCAGGGATAGGGTTTTAGATTAAATGATGTCATTTGTGGACAGATTTAGTTGTTTCGGTTCATTACTTCTAAATTTTGGGTTAGGCATTCGATTTCAGGACATGAAAAATCCGACTTTTCAATACGAGCTTTCAGTATTTTTGAACCTAACGATTATTTTACTACGTATGTCTTTGGTATTTTTTAAAATATATTTTTATTGACTTCAGAGGAAGCGAGAGGGAGAGACTGAAACATCACTGATGAGAGAATCATTGATCGTCTGCCTCCTGCAAGCCCCACGCTGGGGATCAAGCCCGCAGCCTGGGCAGGTGCCCTGACTGGGAATCGAACGGTGACCTCCTAGCTTATAAGTTGACACTCAAAATCATTGGTATTTTTTTATATGTAAGGGTAATAGAAATTATTGTATTTTATTTACTTATAAGTTCAGTAAGCATTTGTGGTCAGGGACCACAGAGGCAGTGGACAAGAATGTCAAGCCTTGTGCAGCACTGGGATGTGAGGGAGGACAGGAAGAGGAGCAGCGGCCCAGCCAAAGGGACTGGGATGCTGGGTGCTGCTCTCCGAGAATAAGCGAGGTGGTGAGAGCCCAGCAGAGTGACTTGCTGACAGAGGTGGTGTTGTTGCTGTAATTGTGTTACTGTTAGAAGGAGCTCAGGAGGAAAGGCAGGTTCCGGGGGTGGAAGGGGGTATAGAGGAAGAACAAATTTGACTTGGGACATCTTCTCTTAATCCTTTGTTTTTCACCACTCTCATTACATTTATTGTTAAGTGTAATAAGTTTATTGAGAACTTCTATGTTCAAAGATTGTGACTTTTGCCCTCGGCTTTTGAATTATTGCTTCTTAACTAAAATGTTTGTCAATCATTTGGTCTGCTTAAAAAAAAAAAAAAAAAAAAAAAAGATAATTGATTCTGTCTCAGAAATTCCTTTCTGGAGCAGTCAACTGAGAAACCCCACCCCCACCCCATCCCCCTCTCACCCACTGGGAACCCTTACATCTGAATTTTCCTAAGGAAATCTATATTACATACAGCAGCCATTTTCAACCGGTGTGCCGCAAGAATTTTTAAAATATGCAGTACCTGACTATTTAGTCAGGGGCACTGACCTCTTTTCTCTTAGATTGTCAAATAAAAGAACGACGACAGCCAGCGTGATGTCACATGTGGATGAATCAAAATTATAACTTTTTTTGGTCTGCCACTGAACTTTGGTAATTAGTTTATGTGTGCCATGAGATGAAAAAGGTTGGAAATCACCGGCATAGCCCTAGCCAGCTTGCCTCAGTGGATAGAGCGTTGGCCTTCGGACTGAAGGTCCCAGGTTCGATTCTGGCCAAGGGCACATGCCTGGGTTGCGGGCTCGATCCCCAGTGGCGGGTGTGCAGGAGGCAGCCATCAGTGATTCTCTCTCATCATTGATGTTTCTCTCTCTCCTCACTTCCTCTCTGAAATCAATAAAGAAATATATTTAAAAGGAAAAAGAAAGAAAGAAAATCACTGGCATAGAGAGATGTTGAGAAGCTGGTGTGTTGGCCCTTTGTGCTCATCGGGGAGATCTGGAGCAGGTCCTGTGAGGATCTCAGGTTGACAGTACAGAGAGCAAAGCGCACACACGTGGTAACAGCAGTACTTTTCCCCCCCTAGATATTCGCCAGCGGTTGGGAAAAAGGCCACATTCTCCAGAAAAGGCTTGTAGCCCCGTTGTCCGGAGAGAACCCTTTTCCGATGTCCACAGTCGGCTCGGTGTTCCCAGGCAGGACATTAAAGGCCTGTATTCGGACACCCGGGAGAAGAAGTCAGGTGGGTGACACTGAACACTGCGGGGATGGGATCGGGTAAGAAGAGCAAGGACAGTGGATGAAGCATTGAAATGTTTTTTTTTCTTCCATAATAATTGTAATAACAACAATAATAATGGTAGTAATATGGACATTTTAGTAAATAGATAAAAAGACCCATCTTTGGTCCTTACAGTTTAGCACAAAAACTTTTTAGTTTCATCTATGCTATTCCAGTCTTTGTCCATATATGTATCCTACCTTTTCATATAGTGTTTCACCATAGTCACTTTACTACATGGTTATATTCTTTATAAATAAAACTTTATTGCCTTATAGTGTGGCTATACTATGAAATTCTAAACATATTTCTCTATTATTAGATATTGATAAAGTGTATTTTTAAAATTAATGGAGGGTGGGCAGAATCTCTAAAAGTTGGCAGTGATGCAGGCCCATCAGTCTGTAGAACGTTGATCTGGGGATGGCCCTCTCCTGGCAGAATGCAGCTGTGCACCGGGCGGTGAGTTCCACCAGGCAGGGGGCAGGTGTAGCAGAGACTCCCTGGTGATTCTCATATGCTCAGCGTGGAGGCACATGTGCCTTGGCTGTGAGAATCTCCCCGTGGGTCCAGATCCCTCAGTTTGCAGGCAGGGGATTGCAGCCAGGGAGATGAGATTACCTGTGCGAGGCTGCACAGTGGTTGCAAGTGCCACAGACCCTCCCCCCTCCCCCCACCACCACTGTTGCCTGCTCATCAGGAGTCGGCAGTACCCCTGCTTCCTCAGTACTACCCTGCTTCTCAGCATTGACTACCAAAACTAAGATGCCTTCTCATCCAAACAGGTAGCTTATGGACTCGCTTAGGATCTGCATCCAAGACCAAAGAAAAGAACACGAAGAAAGTGGATCATAGGGCTCCTGGCACTGAGGAGGATGACTCCGAGCTGCAGAGGGCATGGGGGGCTCTGATTAAGGAGAAAGAACAGTCTCGCCAAAAGAAGAGCCGGTTAGATCACTTACCGTCTCTCCAGATTGAAGTTAGTCGGGAAAGCAGCTCTGGTTCAGAGGCAGAGTCCTGACGCCCTTGGGGCCGATGGCAGCTGCCCTGGAGCCTGACGTTCTTGCGCAGGGTGGGTGCGCAGTAGAGCCCCCCCTGCAGGCGCTGGTGCCCCCGCTTTTACTCAGACCGTCACCCTCAGCTCTTGCTGCTTTAGCAAGGCCTCTTAAGAATGTGACATGTTTGAAGGGCATCTGTCTATCTTTTGCTGCAGAATTAGAATTCTGGGCCCTGATTTTTTTTCCTACCACCCCACAAGCTTTACCCTTTGAGAAAAAGGCAGCCCTCCAGATTTTGTAGATGTTTTTCTTAATATTTTTAACATTGTGTCTTTAAAAAAAAAAAAAATGTTTTACACAGTTCATCCAAAGAGCAGAGAACTGAACTTCTCACTATTGCCTTGGCCCTGACAGCTGTTACCAGCACCCTTTTCCCAAGAAAAGTCAATTCCCAGGTGCTTATTGGACAGCCTTCGAGGGGGAAGATGAGGGAAGCGGCCAGCTCACTCTTCCAGGACCCTAGTGTGGGGCCGAATCTCACGGACCTGACCTCAGAGGCGCCAGTGCTGCCCAGGTAGATCCCAGACACAGCGCCGGCCGTGCTTCCGCTCCTCCCGGGGATGCCTGTTGGGGACCTCTTGTTAGCAATCGGCTTGCCGTGAAGATCAAGTTCAGTACTGGGCGATTTTTAGGAACAAAAACTGTGACTTCTGGATTTGGGATGGATTTTTTTGTGCTAGGGGTGGGGTCATGGGGTCAAGTTGAACAATTTCTAAGTCTGTATTATGTTTAAAAAATATTAATGATTTAAGGTTTAAATTTTTAATTTTTATATGTGAAAATACTTCCTGTTGGCTATCAGGGAAGCTCAAGTGGTGTCTAATGTGCTGTTAAATATATATTATATACTTTGGAAGAAGGCAAAGAGAGGAGTCTCATTATTTTTAAATGATCCTAATTGTACCTAGAGTTCAGCTTGCCTTTGCCCACTGCAGGAAACCCCCCCCAACCCCCCACCCCCACCCCACCCCCGTCCGAGATGGGGTCCTGTTCATTGTCCCGTTAGCAGTGATGCATTGACCTGTTTTCTGGCACCTGGAGACATCTTCAAAACTGGCAAATGACTTAGTGATAGAAGTTTCAGTTCATTTATCTCTAGTATTTGTTCGATTATTTTAACTAAAAGGCAGTAGATTAATTTGTTTTCCTGTCTGATGTCTGTTTTGAAGTATTTAATGTTTGCATTCCCCTGCAGCGTAAAAAGGGTGTTTCACTTCAGTCCACCAGCACTTGGGAGCTAGGGAGAGTGAGCCTTGTCCCTTTAGTGATGTCACAGCTCTCCTCCTGCCTGCAGCGCCCCAGTGCCGGCGCAGCCCTGCATTCTGACGCCCCTTCTGGTCTGTGGCTGAGCTCATCCGCGTCCCCGGAGAGCTGGCCGAGCGCCGAGCGCTGTGGTTCATCACGGGAAGGGCCGTGGGACGTGAGGCTGCAGCAGAGCCTGCGTTGTCCGTATTTTGTTGCTTTACCTGCTTTTTTCTCTCCCTTCAGAAAGATTAGAACAACAGGCCATGATACGTTTCACCTTCCTAATAGGGTTCCGGGAAAGAGATAGTTTAGGCTCCTCTGCCAGGTGAGACCTAATGTTGCTGAGGTTCTCAGCTCCTCTTGCTTTGAAGCACACTGAGAGCCAGGTTCTTGAGGCGGGTTTGGGAGTTGATCGAGTGAGAAATATGAGGCCCTGAGAGTCAGACCTGGGCGCCACCCCTGCCTGTGTTCCATGAGTGGGGGCCTTGGTTTCCCCATTTAGCAAATGAATGGGCTGGAACCAGAGCTGCTGGCTTTGTTGGTGTGTCTCAGTGGTGCTTGACTTTTTGCCCCAGTTATGGCTGCAGTAAGCTGGCCAGCACTGGCTTCTGTTGTAGGGGGGGGAAGTCAGGGAGTCAACTGAGGTTGTGCGTGAGGTTGTGGACAGGGACTAACCCCATCCATTCCAGGCTCTGGGTGGGACAGAGTCTTAGTGGCCAGGGCCCCGACTGACAAGGTCTGTGGAGTGTTCAGAAAAGGCCCCTCCTCGGTTTTCCTTTGCGCTTCCCAGCAGTGGGGCAGGCCGTTTGGTCCTCCCTGGTCCCTGGTAGAGACCAGGGCAGACTTTCAGGTGAGCGGTGGTTTGTAGTCAAAACTTGGTCTTCAGTTTAACCAAGAAAAGTGCCCACTTTAGCAGCTTGGCAATTCTCACAGCCACACAGAACCCAGAAAAGGATCTTAAAAGATTTTCAGTGTGTTTCTGAAAGTTGTTGGTCCCAGCCCCTCTTGCTCTCCAGCCTGTGCTCAGAGCCTCAGATGGTGCAATATGTTCGCCATGCCCCGAGTGCTCAGGCCTTCCTGTGGGGTTTGGGGGTGAGGACGGACAGGACAGTCCCCTGGCGGGAGCTCAGTGCTCTTCATGGACGTGGGCAGCAGGACTACCCACTTTTCACATTTCTCTTCGTCTTTATACGTACAAGATTTTAAATACATTTATGCTGCTTGATGATAATTAGATACCTCATTCGTTTCCCACTCTACCTCTTGGGAGAGGTACCAGCTACCCAGGGGAACTCACCGAGGCTCCGCAGATGCAAACTCTCCTCACCTGGCCTCGTCTAGTTCGGCTCCTTCCAACCCTCCCCGAAGTTCAGCCACTGTCTCCCGCTGCATCTCCATAGCAGCTCCTCCCTGGTCTCCGCCTCAGCTCTCCCTCTCTGTTCTGCACCGTCCCCAGCGTGAACTCTTGTTGTTAGCAGTTTATTGATATAGAATTTATGTATCGTACACGTCAGTGGCTTTCTGTATGGTCACAGAGACGTGCAGCCATCATCATACTCAGTTTTAGAATATTGCATCACTAGAAAGAATACTTGTACCATTAGCAGTCACTCCTCATTCCCTGTCCCCGTACCCCACACCCCACCCCCTGCCCCCTCCCCCCGCCGGCAAACCACTGTTTCGCTATGGATTTTCCTGTTCTGCACATGTCATATAAATGGAATCATATTACTTTGTATAATTTGTGACTGGCTTCTTTCACTAAACGTATTTTCAAGTTTCATCCATGTTGTAGCATGTATCAGGTCTTTATTTCTTTCTGTTGCTGAATAATGTTCCATTGTATGGCTGTGCCACATTTTATTTATCTGTTCACCTGTTAACAGACATTTGGGTTGTTTATGCTTTGAGGCTACTCTGAATAGTGCTCCTATGAACATTTATGTACAATTTAAAAATATATATATTTTATTGATTTTTTACAGAGAGGAAGGGAGAGAGATAGAGAGCTAGAAACGTTGATGAAAGAGAAACCTCGACCAGCTGCCTCTTGCACACCCCCTACCGGGGATGTGCCTGCAACCAACGTACATGCCCTTGACCGGAATCGAACCTGGGACTTTTCAGTTTGCAGACCAACGCTCTACCACTGAGCCAAACCGGTTTCGGCTATGTACAAGTTTTATGTGGAATATGTTTTCATTACTCCTGGGTTGTATACCTAGAGGTGGGATTGCTGGGTCATATTATAACTCTGTCTCTCACCTTTTGGAGAACTGCCAGGCTGTTTTCCCATGTGGTTACATCATTTTTCATCTCTCCCTCCTCCCCAGCAATATACAAGCGTTCCAGTTTTTCTACATCTTTGACAGCAACTTATTTTCTGATATAAATTAGTATCTTGCGGTTTTGATTTGCATTTCCCTGATGACTATGGATGTCGGCTACCTTTTCATGTGCTTCAGGATGAGTTTCTGTTATTTCTCTGTGAAGACCTTTTCCTAAGCGTCACCATTGCCCTTGGAATAAATCCCAGACTCCTCTGATACTCACACGGCTGGTCAGGACCTGGTCTCTGGCAGTGTTTCTGCCTGTTGGCCCGCCCGCCCCTGCCTTCTGCTCACTACTTCCCTGGGCTCATCGCTGTCTTCCCAGCCTTCCAGGCTCTGCTCAGAGCTGCCTCCCGCACTGACACCCTCCCCTCCCAGCCCTGTCCCCTCCTGCCTGGCCTTCTCTTTTCCCTCATGCTCAAGGACTTAGCAAACCCTCCCGCCCCCCCCACCCCCCTCCCCCATGAAGCTCCCCCAGCTCCCGAGCCAGGGTCTGGGTCCTCCTTTGTGCCCCACGGGACTGCCATGTGAAAGTCTTGGCTCACTCCAGGGTTAGAGTGGAAGGTCATGCCCAGGGGAACATGGCGTGTAGTCACAGTTCCTCTTGGAAACCCGAGGGCGTGCTCAGTTGAAGGCCAGCACCAGGAGGTCCACAGCGAGTGCAGCTGCTCCTGGCCGTGTGGAAACGGCACAGCTCCTTTGGCGGAGCCCCAGGTGAAGAGTCTGGTCTGCGGTTTAGGGCCATGTTACATGAAAGACACTTCCTCCGGTGTCATAGTCCCACCCGGGCGAGAAGAGGCGCTTGGGAGCTGAGAGGCCACAGGAGCCAGAGCTTGAGCTTGGCACCGGCCCTCCTGCCCGCTGCTGGGTGAGTGGAAGGCAGGGAATGGGCCAAAGACTTAAAATTATTTCCCTTTTTCCTCGTCTCTTCTCCCCAGACAAATGCCGTAGTGTTTGCCTAAGTGAGGTATGTGTATGATACCAAATCTCTATCCGCTCCCAAGCCTGCCACCTCTACACTGGATTGTATAATAGTTCCCTGTTTCTGGCTTGTCTTTTTGCTAGACTGTAAGCTCCGTGAGGGCAGGGCCATGTCTGGCTTGTTCCTGGGGTTTCCCCAGTCCTGGCACCTGACAGGCCCCCCACGGACAGGCGCTGGGTGTGCACAACCCCCACTGCAGGAGCAGCTCCCTCCGCTGAGGCCTGGCTAGTACACGCTTTGTCTTTGTGTTACTGTCCCCGCCAGCCTGTGAGCTCCCAGGGAGCAGGTGTCTTCTGCTGTCGCCTCTGTGTCCTCCCAGCACGCCAGAGAGCGGCGCCTAATGCGCGGTTGGTAAATGGATTGTGGGACCTAACCCAGCTCTGGTGCCTTTGTCTACACGTCAGTCTACTGTCCGTCAAGACCACCAGGTGCAGAAGAGGAAGGTTGCTCAGCAGCACGTACTTTATAACAAAAACATCCCATTGAAACCGCGATAAAATTCCCATTTTGGAGATTTGGCCATAGCTGAGCAGAAACTTACCCAGCTTGCCCAAACCGGTTTGGCTCAGTGGAAAGAGCGTCGGCCTGCAGACTGAAAGGTCCCGGGTTCGATTCCGGTCAAGGGCATGTACATTGGTTGCAGGCACATCCCCAGTGGGGGGTGTGCAGGAGGCAGCTGGTCGATGTTTCTCTCTCATCGATGTTTCTAGCTCTCTATCCCTCTCTCTTCCTCTCTGTAAAAAAATCAATAAAATATATTTTTTTAAAAAGAAAGAAAGAAAGAAAAACTTGCCCAGCTCTGTGAAGAGTTTGCTAGAGAATTCCGTAGGTAAGAAGGCAGGAGAGCGGGACAGGAAGAGGGCAGGTGGACGGAACCCCAGAGCAGGACTGCTGGGACGGCCCAGCCTCAGGTCCCGATGGGGAGGGACGGGCGGCAGCCCAGGGGAGGCGGAAGCAGCACTCGCCGCAGCTCCCTTGGCCTCAGCAGCACTCCAGCTCTCACACGGAGCGTCCTAATCTGACAGCCTCTGTGGGTTAAAGTTAACAGCAACTTGAGGCTTCACAGATTCACTAATTGCTGCACAGATAAGCTGATGCACAATTATTTGTGTTTAAACCTTATAAGAAGTAAATTAGAGGTTAAACCATTTTTTTCTTTTAAGAACTAAAAAAGACCGATTTTTTTTTTTTTTAATAATCTTGAGAATAGCACACTTCAAGGCAGATTACTATTGAGTTCAGTAACCTAGAACTTTTCTTACATGTTGATAAAGTAAGTCTTAGGAGAAAACCTACGGTAGCA